TGCTGTTCATCACACTTAGGTGTGTAATAAAAAAACAACACTGGTAGGGAGCTTCATTAGGTACATCAACAATATTGCACTTTTTGGGTCGGCCTTTCCGTCCTCCTCGAGTCACAACAAGAGTGTACCACGCTATTACAGGTACACGGTGGTACCGTTCGCATCTCCGGATGTCCGATCACGGAACCACTTGAGTGGGGATAGTGGACTACTGCTTAGCTAATGGTGCGGTCGCGAATGACGCTCAAAAGTGTGCCTCGGGATTCAAACAGCTCATGATCTGATTCCTCCTGATCTAAATTTTACCTTGTCCTTCAAAGTGAACAGTCTCCATTTCTCGCCTTCTCGCAAAGCGACCACATGCGATCGTATAATTCGCTCAACAGGCACGGTAACAGCTGTCGTGGAACACAGTACCAGAGAATGGACGGACAAGTGCAACCTATCCCGATCGAACGACAATTGCGTAAACAAACAACATGAGGCCGACCAATGAATGAGTGTGTGAGCGAAGGAACAAAAACGCAGCAGCAGAGGAACTAACAGAATCGATAATGAAACTTACAACGCATGTCAAATGATGGACCGTGTTCTTTCAGATGCAACTCTTTGGCCACATATTTAAAGGTATGATGTCTGCACACGCACAGATAGTGAGGGGGAGAAAATAAGCAAACTGGTTACTGCACCGCGAGAAGCAGTGACAAAGAATAACTATAAATAACAGATGTTCGATGGATCAGTTAGGGATACAGTTGACTCAATCTACGCGTTCGCATTTGGCAAAAAAGGCAAGGGATTAGTTCTATGTGAAAACTACGAACATGTGACAGACTAAGCTACACATATCACAGAAAAATAGAGAACTGCAGACGACTAGGGTTGTAAAGAAATTGGGAAGATGCACAGTGTCACTGTTTGCGGCACACAACCACACCAAGCAGTGTCTCCAACCAATCATTATGAAGACCACAAGGTCCCCATCCAGGGCGCCTAACTTGACCCATATGGCCGAATCACCACCTACTAAGGGCTTTCATACCCTCACACCGGGTATTCTAACAATCCTTGGCTTTTTGCCATCCAACAACTGTCTCAGTTAACATCGTGAGCCGGGGCAACCTATTTGGTGACTTGCGTAACACATGCCCCAACCAACGTAATCCATGGAGGTCAACCATTTGCTCCAGTCGATGACTGTGTATTCCGATATAGATAGCGGTGCTCAAACGCTTCCTTAATGGCCAAGTTTCTGAACCGTATAGCAGAAGTGGTCCAACTGCTACAGTATATACTCGACCATTCACAGATACCCGGATGTCACGACGACTCCACTGAGGTCTCAATTAGGTAAATGCCAATCGAGCCTTCTGTGACACTTCATCTGTGGTGCACCCACCGAGTGAGATATAGCTGTCCAAATAACAAAAGTTGTCCACTTGTTGTACTACATCCCCAGTTAGAGTGGGGCTGGACGAACCGGGTTCTGTAGAAACATCCTACACTTCGAAGGTGAAGACAATCATCCAACAGAAAAGTCGAACTTAACTTCTATGGGGAATGTGTCAATCGGGTACCCTGTGGGTGCTTCCGAACCAGTAGAGGTGAATTCGTGTGAGGTTCACAGGTAGCGTGTTTTTCGCTAACCACTTAGTCGTTGCCAATAGTTATGGTTCTCCATTCAGGTGTATTAAACACATGGACACACAAGTTCACCGTGCCCGATTATGCTTGAGACCTCTGGTCGTGGTGCCGCGTTGAGGAGAGTAGTTTATTCGGGAGAACGATATGAACATCGGTAAATAGGGTTACACAGATCGAAACGTTTCCTCTGAAGTAGTTCAATCACAATTTCAACAAGCACACAGAATAATGGAACGTGATGGAACAGTCCGACGGTAGGTACAATTTTGAACACACTGAATAGCTTCAAGATAACTTGTTCGTTTTTCACCGTTATGAGAAACAGCCAACTACATCCTTTTGCACATTCTTACTCGCAAATGTGAGCAGTACCTCACAACAATAGCACATTTCTTGAAGGGGGATTTCATTTGGTAAATACGATCGAAGCCATCGATTCAGAAGTCTGTCTAGCAAGACAAAGACTTTGGTATGTTCATAAGGAACCCGTATTTGAAACATATGTTCAGCGAGCGATGTACAAGCGAGCCGTTCACCAAATTTATGGTAAAACGGGACTACCGCAAACCATCACTCAGGGTCACCGTGATTAGTTCTAATCGATCGATCAATGGGCCGCGCCAGTCAGTGATCGATACGACCAACATCCCTTCAAAATCACAACCACTTTGGGACAGCTGTTTCTTCAAGAGTAGCATTAGCAGCGGACTCACTGAATAGTACAATTGTGAAAACATCTAATCGATAGTGATAGCTTCCGCCTCGACTTGTATACTCGTGTAAACATTCATGTCATGCTTGAGTTGTTCAGTCCATCCCATAGCTGCGCAAGTGTTGGCTGACTCATAGAGTGATGCATTCATTATTCAGTGAGTCTGAGTTTTACTAAATCCTCTGACCAATGAAAGCTCGAATCAGAGATTTAGACTCCAAAATCTGATCCAAGAGGCAGTGGAGCGTAGATGCAACGCGGGACAGTGACCGAGCGCTTGTGTGGGAGTCTTTACAAATCTTGAATTTTCTGTTTCGTACATCGTGCGTATGCGAGTTTGATACTGGTCCCCCGATCTAGAGTGGTATCCATTGGGACAAGTAGAAGATGGACAGAACGGCACTGTATTTTGGTCAATAAAGCACGATCAACAATTGAGATTGTTTGAGGAAAATAGGTCACAATGAGAGTCTCTTATCACCGGTTCAAATGAAAACTTACCAACGGTAAAAATGTGACGAGTAATATAGTAGTAGTAGTAGTCGTAGTATAGTAGTATATAGTAATATATAGAAAATCCTAACCGGAGTAGAAGCAATGCAAAGTTCCGAAGTTTGCGTGTTTATGGAACACGTAAGTATTTCAAGATCTGGGATACAAGGCCATACTGGCGATTTTATATCCAAGCCGATTTTATGCAGTGAACAAAATTGGTTTGGCACCCACGTTTTGCCGGCGCTATTCCGCATATGACCTATGGTCCAACAACCAGGCCTTCGTTAAACATTCAACGAGACTCCGTAATTCCTTTTGGATGAGGGAAATCTTCACCGTGTATTAAGTTAGCAGATAGGGTTTCCCCAATAGAGACCATGAATGCGGCAGATTGTTTGGAGTGTAGTGCAGTCTGAGTGATTTCTAACAATCCGCACACTCGACTGGAGCTGAGGCACGTGACAGCTCGAACTAGTAGCACCCACACAGAATCGGGCCTCCCAAGGCCTCAGTATGGTTGGGGGTGGGTGTCTAGAGTTGCGACTGGTCACCCTGCCCTTGCACCTCACGAAATGCCCCCCATACGACCAAGCGTCTCAAATAGCCTCTGCTGAGGAAGCCCTACTCACTACCTTCTCGCGGAGGAGGTGTTTTCCCACCAAAGTGAGGGGACG